TTCCTGGTTAGGTCCTCTGGAGCAAGGGTCCCCCATCTTTGTGGACCTATGGGCACATTTAGAAATATGAGAAGTAGTGGGGCACCAGCACAAAATACCCAATCAGTGGGTTGCTACTTCTGTGTCTACCTGCGGCATCTACATCTGTTAGGTTAGGTCTACTTTATTCTGCTAAAACTCTTCTTTTGCATCCACCAGACACCACAAAGTTTCTGGTCTAATTCACCTAATTTCTGCCAGTGCAACACAGTTAAAGCCGTTAAGCACACGTTTTGGCAATGTCTTGTAGCTGCTGCTTTTTGGGCAGGTGTTTATTACAGAGGTACATTTTATAGCATAACAGACTGTAATATTTATTCAGCACTGTACCTGCTCTTTTAAATTATTTACCTGATTCATGGAAATAACAAATGGAAGGGGAAATGGAGTCTTGGTGCACTTTTGATGACTTAAATGATGAATGTTAAAAATATATATATATAAACACTCACCTCTAAAAATGCAATGGACTGAGAACCCAGTCCAAAAACCTTACAATGTTTTTGATATATGAATGGGTAGTATATGAATGCCAACTTCAAACAAATACTTATTTAAGTGTTTGGACGGATTTTATTTTTATTTTTTTTTTTGTGGGGGGGGTTATGATGGCTAGAAAGTTGCTTGTGTTTCATGCAAATTCGTATATACATATTTCAAAAAAGGGGGAAAAATGGGTGCCCTACCACTACCACATTGGTGATGCTAATCTTGGAGGCTTTTTAGGAACAGCAAAAACTAGAGGCTGCCAGGGCAGCACTAGACATGCGCACTTTTTAAAAAATTATCTATGAATCCCTCAGCTACCTCCTCATATTGAAGCCCTGAACCCTGAGAAATTTCTCAAATTCTCAATTTCCACAAAAGATGCAGAAATGTAACTGACTCTTTCATGGGGAAATGAAGAGGGTGTGATTAATTGCCACTGATTATCTTTGGCTACTTGGCTGTTGGACTGTTGTCATCCTTAGCTGCCCTGAATCGACTTCCTGCCATTTTGTCTGTCCTGGAGAGTGTCTAACTCCCATAAGGCTCCTTCTCATCACCTCTGCTTGACCCAAGTACAAGAGGAGGGCAAATAGTCCTTTCTTCATCACATCCTGCACCAGTGCAGAGCGACCATGTCACTCTTAGCAAGAATCTTGCTTTACTGCCAAATTGGTAGTGAATCTTGTTTCGCAGGCATGTTGCATACCTGAAACAATCTCTGACATGTCTATGCTGAAGTAAACATCACTAAGGTCAATGGTGCTCATGCCCAAACAAGTGGGCAAAGGATCAGAGCCTTTGGGTACAGTCCTATCACCCCCTGCCCTTGATGCACATGAGCATCCATGCTGCATCTATATCTATCTATCTTGAATTGTTGTAAGACTGATTTTGAATAAAGCCACTAATGCTGCTTTCCTCCCAGAACCATGTTGTCATGGTATTAAATTTATTGGTATTATTACCCCAAGTATTGTCCTCTTTCCACTTTTGTCAATATATAGTACAATCAATCATTGTTTACAAATGGCTATTAAATGATTACTTCCCATGCATTAATTTTAAAAGTCCCAAAATATTTACAACATTCCCCTTGGAAGAACATTCAGAACCTTGAAAATCAGAGTAAGAAATCAGTATGTCTGCACTTTAGAAAAACTGAAGGGTTGATAACTGAATATACACTGTCATTCTGTTATCAGCAGGAAGAGATTAACTTTAGCTACCAACTGACTAACCTATTTATTTTAATGTTTATGCTGCTAGCTGGCCCAGATATGGCCCTGACATCTAGCAACAGAAATGACACACTGCAATATTAAAACAAGGATGATTTTCTTCTTGTCAGCTTTCTCCACAGTCCAGCTTTCACACCAATACAGAGAAATCAGGGACACAACAGAGTAGATGATCTTGGCCTCAGTCTCCGGTGAAACATCCCCACACTTGATGATGTTTGTTGCATTCCTTCATTGCATCCCTTCCCAGTCTCAGTCTGCTCCAAATTTCTTGGCTACAGTCTCTCTCTGCATACCTTGGCTCAGTCATTAATTCAAAAACTTGCACAAATTTCAATTTCTTTATTCTTCAGTAATTTTTCAGCAGTTGTGATTTTTGATTCAGCTGCAGTCCTGCTCCTGCACATGCTTCTTTAATCAGGAGTTGTTTTAATCTGCTGCTTCTGTCTGCCAGCAATATGGCATTATCTGCACATCTTAAATTGTTTGTGTCTGCCACCAGTTTTCACTCCTTCCTCTGATTCTAATTCTGCTTTCTTTATATGTTCTGGGTACAAATTGAACAGATAGGGAGATAAAATACACCTTTGTCTGATGCCTTTGCCTATAGGAAACCATTCTATTTCTCCATATTTGGTCCTAACTATGCTTTTGTTCATCATACAGGGTATGCATCAGGACAATCAAGTGCCGAGGTACATTCATTTCTTGCAGGGTCCTCCATAGCTTCTTCTGCTCCACACAGTCAATTGCTTTACTGTAGACTATGAAGCATAGATTGATCTTCTGAATTTTTTTGGTGTAGCCAATGTATATTCGATATGATCTGCTGTGCCATTTCCTTTTCAGAATTCAGCTGAAATGTCAGGCATTGCTGTCTCCATATACTGTTATATTCTTTGTTGCAATACCCAGAGTATCGCTTTGCCTGCATGGGGAATTAGTGTGATTGCCCTATGGTTGCTGCAATCTTTTGCATTTTCTTTGGAATGTGTATTGAACATTTCTAGTCTGTAGACCATTGTTTTGTTTTCCATATTAGTTGGCATCTTCTTTTTAGGGTTTGGACAAATGCCATCCCTGAAGCTTAGAATAGTCCTATTAGTATCCGATCTGCTCTGGGTGTTTTATTCCTTACAATTGCTTTTAGACCAGTTTTTTACTGTGCTTTATAATATTGTAAGCGCTTTCTCAGAGTTTCTTTTCAAAGAGTCTGCCGTCCATTCATCTCTTCATAGTTCTTCTGTATATTCTTTCCACTTTGTTCTTTACTCCTGGTCAGAGAGTGCATCCCCTTGTTTGTCTTTCAGCATTCCTAATCTAGGTTTGAATTTCCCTTTGATTTCTTTGATCTTCTGGAAGAGGTCTCTTGCTTTTCTTGTTTTTCTTCTATTTATGTATTTATACATGTATTTATAGGCTGCCTATAATGGCCAAGGCTTTCCTAGGTAGCTTACAGTACATAAAATGTATTTCTTTAAAAGGGTCATTGTAATTGTTCTTGTCATTTCTATGTGACAATCAAAGAAAAAATGCATTCGTGTTTCTTCAGTCATCCAACTAGGTTTCTTTGTCCTCTTTGTTACAAGAATTCTTTTGGCATTCCTCGCTAATGTCTGTGTTTTCAGTATGTAGTTCTTCTAGCTCATGGTTAATTATGCTGAGTAATGCTAATCTGTTCTATAGGTGGACTTTAAGTTTGTTAGGAATGCTATTTAAGTTGCATTTTGATACTGTTTCCTTTAGTGGTTTTTTTTTAGCTTGGTCACTACCACAGTCTGCTCCTGGTCTTGTTTTGGCAGCAAGAATACTGCTTCTCCATCTTTTGTTTCCAATTACATTGCCAGTACAGAAATCTAATAGGCCATCTAATGATGTCCATGTATAGAGTCATTTCATCAGTAGCTTAAAGTTTGCACTTGCAGTAAACAGATCGTTGGCTTCATAATATTCTATGAATCTGAGGAAATGGGTTACAATCTATGAATGTTTAGGCAATAATGAATGTGTTAATCTTTAAGGTGCTCCCAAGACTATATAAAATTAAATAGTAATTGAACTAACAACACTAGGGCACTTGCCCCTTTTTGGTTGATCTGTTGTCCCTGTTTACTGCCAGACCAGTATTTAAGGGGGGGGGGCATGTAATAGTTAACTTTTTCATTATTGAAATGCACACTAATTGTTCAGTGTGCCATTTGCAAAGTGAATGCAAGAATGGGAGCAAAGGCAAGTATTTGCTATTTTTAGATTGTGAGTTATATAATTTATTTGCTTTGCAATATCCCTAAGTGCCATTTGGTAGCAGTTAGCTACCTTGACACTTTACAGTGGCTTATACAGAGATGAATCACTTATTGATCTGTGAGGTTGTATGGATAAGTGGATCATGTAATAGGAAACCCAAACTCCCTTGCTGAAAAAAGCTTTTGAAAACTCAAAATCACAAAGCAACTGAGTGCTGACAAAAAGAGTGGTGAGAATTTCATGAGCATGGAAAGGATGCACATTTTTGTCTTTTAAAACAGAGTCCCTTGGAGTATGACATAGAAACTGCCCAGATTATTCAAGCAGTTAAGGAAAGAAATTTTATCATTCTGAGAAGCTACCGTAGGATTAATAATTCTGCTTCCTTTCTTGCTGACGTCCATGGTTTTGAAAAACTTGATTTTAGAAAATGAAGAAGCATATTAATCATGTTAAATGAAGGCAGGATACATTCCAGCTTGCTTGAATATAACACATATTGTGGTAGTACTGTGTGTATGGATACTCAATGAATCAGGGAAGAATAAATGTATCAGAACTACCCCAATACTTTATTTTCTTGTACTTGACAGACGAGTTTGTGTAAAATCATAATCCCTCACACTTTTTATTTAGCCTCCATACATGGACAAAGTCCCATGCTTCCACTTTTTTTAAAAAAAAGGCTAAAAAGGTTTTTAAAAAAAGGCTTAAAAGAAATTCCAATACAAGAGGAAAACAAGAGCACGTTTGCCTGCGAGATCCGCCCTCTGCCTCTCCTCAGCCAATCGAGCACGGGAGCGAGCAGTGGAAGAGCCAACGGGAGGCCGAGAGCGCGCCGCCTGTGTAATCAAGCAGCCGGTACCTACCGCGGCCCCATCTCCGCCTCTTTCCCCCCCCGCTTCCAATTTTTTGCAATCGTTTGAAGCCGCTTCTTGCTCCAGCTCCGGATCATCGTCAGGGCTGCTGCAGCTGCTCTGGACGTCCCTCGCCGGTGGTTCATTTCCTTTCTGATTTCCCCCGCTCTGCCCACCTCTTCTGCTGTTTCGATTGCAGCCTCGCGGGCACATGGCATGTCTGATGGCAGCTTTCTCAGTGGGCGCCGCTTTGGTAAGGGGATGCTCCTCGCATCTGCTCTTTGAGCCATCCGGACGTTGCCGCTGCTCAGCTGAACTAACTCTAGCGAGGATTCTTTCCTGCATATTATTTTCGGTTAGGCGGGAGCCAGCACGGGGCTGGAGAGCGGGGGAAAGGTTGCGATTCTTTGGACCACTATTATTATTAAGCGAAACTGGAGAGGAGATGGGGATGATTATAAATAATAATGATTGAGAATAATATAACAAAATTGAACAAGGAACTGAGATTTGGGAACCAAATGTGACAAGATACTTTCCTCCCTCGTCCCCACTCTCCAATGATAGAACTGTGTAACAGCAGTATGTCTATTTTCTTTTTCTTTCTTGTTTAATCATCTTGTTCCTCTGGTTTACTGCTCTGGTGTTCTGTTCTTTTTTTGTGCCGAAAATCAAACGGGAGCTAAGAGAAACCCTGTATGTTGAGGTCAGGCATAGCCCCTCTGTTTTGCAGAACGCGCTGAAAAGCGAAAGAGAAGCTACCAAGTCAAAAAGAGACGAATAAATAAAATTCTATCCAGAGGGGAGAGGAAAAAAAGAGCGACTTCTCGTCCTAAGTGATGGAGTCTGCACAAAGCTTGAGCCGGGGGTGGCCCGTTTAATCGGAGCTTTGCTGTGATGGATCAACCCTCACTTTAATTGGTTTTGTGTGTATGCGTGGCTATGTGCTGAATGGGAGAAAAGAGGGTGCATCTAGGTTTGTCTCGCTTTAATTAATCAGCCTTGATCTGGAGCGCATCAGCACCGAAATTCTTTTGGTAAGGGAATATGTGTTGTCTTTTGCTCCCTACATTGCTGCATTGCGAATGACACTGATTTTTCCTCTCTCTCTCTCTAAAATAAGAGGCATGGAAATGCTTTCTAGCGTAATAGTGTTTGTGTGCAATGTGTCCCCAACTGCGTCCTGACACGCGTTCCCTCTTCGGGGCTTTGCAACCCTCCAAAGTTTTGCAGGGCTGTAACTTATTGTGGTACGAATGTTGTCATCTTGTAGGTATAGACTGCTGAGAAACTGCGGGTTTGCGGCTATGTTTTTTCTTTGTTTTTTTCTCATTTACATCATCCTGGATTTGAAGTCAGCTGCACATAGCCGGGTTTGACCGAAAGTTACCTCTGCCTTGTGCTCATAAAAAAAGATGGAGCGAGGGGAGGGGGGGAATTAGATGGTTTTCTGAGCATGCTCAGACTTTCCCGACTGCATCCTAGGAATTGAAAACAGACTTACTGAGGTAAAGATAACCCTTCCAGCTCATTATATAATGGATTTGGTGTAAACTTGGCAAAAGGAGACAAAAAGATAGTTTTTCTTGAAAGTAACTTTTTGAGGCTGAAAGATGCACATTTTTCATAATCATTGTCATACAACTTTGCAATGGAATGTACTTATTGCTCAGCCTCTTGTTTTGTAACATGAGACAAATAATATTCTCATAGTGAAAATGCGATGAATCCACATGCTCCACTCTATAAGGAAATGGCATCTGCCATCAAGTGGAGCTAGCCTACATAAGCTGGGCTTTAGAATATAAGGCAACCTGTAACTCTTGAGTTGAGCTATCCATTTAAAAGCAAATATTCACCATTAAAGAATATCAAATGACTTGGCTCAGTCAGAGAGACAAATGTATTTGCATTACCTGCAAATGAGCCATTTGATTTTTCTTTCTGTCCCTGCTTCCCAAAATGCTAAATCTCCTGACTTGATCATGACCTTTGAAATTTCCTGGGATAAGATCAACCATTCTTTGGATTAGTACAAGTGCATTCCAAATAGATTGGGGAGGGGGTAGAAGAAGTTTCTAACAAATAGTCCTTAGACATACTGAGTATAGGGGTTCAGTATTGCAAGATTTTCTTTTGCAGCATCTGTTATTTTAAATAACTTTCTCAAGTCCGCTCAGTATCTTAACTTTTGTTACCACAATGGATATCTAAACAGGAGGGCAAATATCCACATCAAAGCTGACTGATCTTGAGCTAAGATATTATTATATTTTTAGAATTAATTATGAGTAGCCCAGTAGCTTGGATGTCTGTGTTATGGATATTTTAAAAACAGGATTTTTAAAAGCTGTATAATCCTGAGTATTCAAAAGCAATGGCACCCTGTTTTTGAACAGATCTTTCCTTTAAAAAAAACATCCCAGCTCACATGACTAGTGTTTGATGATTCCATACCCGGTCTGCTAAATTTGAGCCTTCTGTTATTTTAGAAGGAAAGCTTGTAAGACCACAGAATGTTCGATAGCCCGCTCTTATTTAGTGGGCAGAAACATTGATTAAGTTCATTTTTTAAAAAGTTCTGCCAGCCTGAGATTTTTATCTATTCAAATTATGCTTGTGTCAAAATGCTCAAGTAGCTGGCATGCTTTGTTGGACATCTGACCTACCTAGTTATTTCTGGGCATGAGTTAATAACTGGATTTGGAAAACTGAACTGATTTTCAATTACTGACCTGAATTTTGAATTCCATATTTGCATCTGCTTTTGAATTCTGTACTTGCTTAAAACTGTTTATGTAATTTAACCTTCTTAAATATGAATAAGTGATAGTGTCAACTGCAATCCAGTCTTGGAATCTGGAATTAATATAAAGAAAATAAATCAAGGTCACAAGGATCGTATGTTTTCACTCCCAGTTAATGCATCTAGAATATGCATAAGCCCCTGAAACGGTGGATGCATGTTGGCCTCCAGATCCTGGGTTGTTGACTCCATGTCAAGGCAGCCTGCCTTGTTTCCCTCCTTGCTTCACTTCTTCCTAAAAAATGGCACGTATGTGTGTTAGGAACAAATACTACGTCTTTTCCAGTTTACCAAAGCTTTTCAGTCTAGTTTTCTAGACAGCTTTCCAATTTGTCACATATCAATTGAATGGCTATTTATAAGCCTACTTTATGAACACATGGAAATGTGCACAGGCACATGGTCAATGTAGTCTCAAAAGCAGGGCACACATTCATATGCAGAACTGGAAACAAAGGGTGGAAAGTGCAGGGAAGCCAATTTTGGCTTAACATTAGGGGAAATTTACTATGAGTGAGAACTGTTTGGCATGGAGCGGATTGCCTTGGGAGGTGACAAATGTTCCTGTGCTGGAGGTATCTTAGTAGGCATCCTGGACAGCCATCCGTCAGGGATGGTGTGCTTGTACCCTGCAATACAGAGTCTATACTCAGGAGGAGACTGGGGTGGATGAAATCTAAGGCCCCTTCCAATTCCATGAAACTGTAAGGTGGAATGTCTGAGTCTTCCCAATGGCCCCTAAACTCTGTAGCTCCATGCTGACCTGAAGAACCTTCTGAAACAGAACAGTAGAGAGAAGGCTGTGGCGTTGGCAAAAGTTAGGTACCTGCTATGTGTAAGTGAAAGTGCTTCTGTTAGCACCCATTCAGCTCTGAGTTGACAGAGCTGAGCTGACAAACTGTGTAAACAAATGAGTTTCTAAAAATAGCACTGTGAGGTTGTGACACCAGTAGGTGACTGCTGCTTGTTCTTCCTGTTTTGCAACCCACCCTCGTCTCCCGAAGGACGTTTTTATGTACCAACTCACCCCAGCTTCACTTAATGCAGCTTCACTTAATGCAAACCTGCCAAAACAAGACACCAATTTCATTCTGAGTGAGGTGGAGCTAAGATGGAAAACAAATAGGTTGTGGAGGACAGCACTGGCAAAAGCAGTGGGTAGGTCTGGGCCTAGCCTGGAAAAGTGGTGGGTAGGTTCGGTCTGCCCTGAGATTAACTCCTGGGACTGGACTCGTCTACATACTGGAAGTCTAGCTGTCTGATTTACTTTAGGTTCCAGCCCTGTAGTTTCAGCCACTGACTTCAGCAGGGCTGTTGCAGAGATTTTTTGTTGCCTGATAGTGCCCTCTCCCATTCCATGTCTGAAAGCCAGCTGGAAGGGGAGATTAATGTGTTCAGCACTGACAGTGGGACAGCACCAGAATGCAGCAGCTACGTCAGGAGGTGCAGAGCACAGACACAAGTACCACCGATCTTTCCTCCAGCACCTTGCTGCCACCTCCCAGCATCTGCTCCTTGAGGTGGCTTTTGACTCTGCCTCTGCCATCTGGTCTGGGACTTCTGGAAGCCTGATCTTGAAATCATCTTGTACCTGGCCCTGGTCTTTGATCTAAGCAAGCTTATTTTCCAGTGATTTTTTTTTCTTCAGTTAATTGGTCTTTTTTCCAAGTAGGCGTTTAAGAGTCCAGTAAAAAAGAATTAAAGATAATGGGAATAGTCTCTACATCTATTTCCCATATAAGTGCACCATAATCATGCTAACACTGTGTGATCTAAACGAAGTCCCTTTGCTAAAAAACATTCCGTGTGCTAAGAGCTCTTTTGGAAATTAAATATATATAAATATGTGTGTGTGTATGTGTGTGTATGCAAATAGTCATTCAATTAAATGTTCCTGTAGTATCCCTTGGTTCATAGAACAAAACAAGAAAAGGGTAATGAATTCTGTGATGTATATAACCTTTGACAAAGTTCAGATAGAGGCACTTTGGGCAAAATATCTATTGTAATATCTGTATCTTTTGCATCTGGTCCACTCAGTGTGCTAAGAGTAACTCTTAACAATACATTTCATTCTCGGGAACAACCCAGACCTTTTCAAGAATATAATTTTGTGGACAGATACATAATCTGAATAACACATTTATGTATTTATTTTAACCTTTTTATACCAACTATGTTAGACATTATAATTCTGGGATCTGCTGCTGCCCTTTGTCTGGGTTACACATGAGGTGTGTTTGGATAAGCGACAACAAGGTTGTCCTCCACACTACTTCCCACCTTTTCTGCTGTGACTACAAAGTGTCCAGAAACTTTTGCTTTTTGTGATGTCTGACCCTAGACAAACTGTAGTTAGTCTTTCCTATAGATGGTATAAACAAGCCAACCTCAAGTCAGAGTTCATGAAGTTGGCTTGTTTGCACAATCAATAGTTAAGATTAACCATTGTTTAGGATTTATGTGGAATACTAAACTGTGGCTAGTATAAAATACAACCCTCTGTCACTCTATCAGTGAAGGGGAGCATTCAAGTCCATGCATCACAGGGACTCATTTTTGTAAAGGTGAATCATGGCAACACTATGTGATCAGACCATTGGGGAACCAGAGTGTTCCAAACAGTCCGAGAAGAAGATACATCTGTTGCATAAGAGAGCTCATCAGTGCAGCTTTTCTGGGAATAAAATTGGCCAATGCAATAGCCCTGCAACTGGCATAGATCAACCTTCCCAAACATGATGCCCTCCAGATGTTTTGGACATCCCCTCTGACCCAGCCAATAGCAAGTAATTTTCTTTCTTTTTCTCTCTCTCCTTTCTGCCATTACTGTGTGATAATGCACTGAAGCACAAGTTTAGTGAGTGTATTTTCCTAGGAGAGTTTGTGGGGAATATTCATTCTTCATTTTTCCTTTTGTATTCTAGAATGCCAGCAATTCTGCATTTGCTATGTCTGAGGCAAAGTCAGTATGCGTTTCAGTGGATGAGGTGCTCGCCAATGGCACAGACACACAGGATGTGCATTTGCTCAGTTGCCATTTAAAAAAGGTGGACAATGCTTTTACGGAGGCCCATCGCTTCTCCTACCTTCCCCGGAGACCAGCTGTGAACATTGAATTTAAAGAACTCTCCTACTCTGTCCAGGAAGGACCATGGTGGAGGAAGAAGGGTAAGTCAACAGTCCTCTGAGATGATCAATGAAAGCAAAATGGTAGCAAAGGCAGGAAATGTGATCTTCTGAGGTTAGAACAAAGGAACATTTTCTGTTGTGACTCAAATTGCAGGCGCAGAACCTCAAGCCTGACAGTCAGATCCAGCAGTCTTGTGTCCCAGTCCAGCCCTGGGGGATTCCCCAAATGGCCATGCCTCTTTTCTGCCTCCTTGCCCCCAAACCACTGATTTTGGTGTCTCTTGGCTTTTGGGCAGTCTCACCCATTCTAATAGGATAAAATGCATCTCTTGAGGCTTAGGTACTGGCAGTCAAAGCTTTAAGCTTAAAATATGCTGACCTTATCACTTTTCTCTCCAGCGTCATCTACTACTGGAATCCCACCTCACCCTACTCCACCAAAGCTTCCTCTGAAACAGAATTCTGTCCTTAGCCCAAAATAGGTTCTACAAATGTTGGTTTTACTGAGGCATTGCATTGTGGTAGCCCTCTCCTGCCATGTGGTGCTCTCTATCTCTTTACATATTTGAGTAAAGAAATAATAGCTAGCTGACTATTGAATCTAAGTCAGTGTTTTTAAGAAGGACCAATGGGCAAGTTGTACCCCTCCTCCATGGTAGCTCACGCTTGATCACAGTCCTTGATGAATATTAATCTCATTTCCTAGAGCAGGTTAAGCCTAGGACAGAATTCAGCTCTGAATGGTGGAGAGAACTCACTGTGTAAGGTACTTTCAGATAGCTCTGAAATGGAAGAATCAATAAGATAAAGGAAATTGCTCAGTCCATTATCACTGAATGTTAGAAGTGGTCCTCAGACAGCCGATGGATAGTAGCTGCACTTCCAAGTAAATGTTTGCAGTGGAAAAACAACCTGAGCAATTGCAGCTAGGAGTGGCCAGCTTCCTGAGATTAAGGCTGCTTCCACACAGGTGAGGAAACCAAACAAGCCAATCATTCTTCCTTTCTCAACTGTGGGTGACATTCTCTCTCTCCTTTAAAAAAAAAAATAGTTGCAAAATGTGTTAGAGATTAATTAAACCATTGACTGAAAAAGCACCATAATGGGATTATAAAATGTCACCCACTTCAAAGTGAATGGGTGCTGAATTATGAAAGGCTCATTTCTCTGCTTCAGCACCACCCACACTGTAGCCACATCCTTTGATAAAATGCAGTGCTAAAGGCATTTACAATTGTGGAGATTGTCCTTCCTTCCTACGGGGAAAATGATTTCTTGTGGTCTGAGAAGACAAAGGGCATACAAAGGTGATAATTAGATGACAGTGTGGACCCATAAAAAACAAGTGATGAAAGCATGGCAATTCCGTACTGAATTCCTGAGTGTGGATCCAAACGAAGTCTTGATGTACCAGAAATATCTGTGACATTGTTTAAAAGAATTAATATGTACCTGATAGCATAGTACTACTAAGGCTTAGAGTGGGCTCTTATACAGGAACCACTTGTTCCCAATGAAATCTTGTGCAATGACAGGAACTGATTTGGAATATCAACTGGTGGTTGACTCTTCTTCAGTGTGCTGAATTCATACAGCCCTTGCAAATGCAATACAGCTTTACATCTTTGGATTTACACTCAGATCTTCCCCTATGAGATATTTCTTAAACTGGTTGTTTATAGAATTACATTCAGAACTGTTGAATGCTGTATACTTGGATCAAGTTTGCTTCTTAGTAAAGGAATCAAGGAGACATACATTTCATGAGACCGAAATTACTGCTGCTTTGGGCAGTTTGAATTCCTGTACCTCTCACTGGTAACAAACTGCTGTACTAGGGGGAACACAAGTTTGGTCTACTGTAGTTACATTTATATTCCTTGGTTAAGCAGCATATGTTACTCTTATTATTACTATGATGACTACTACTATTTCATTTCTATACCACCCTACAGCAAAAGCTATCTGGGCAGTTTACATAGTCCATTAAAACAGATATGCTAAAAATACAATCAAAATATCAGAAAAATCAGAAACAATGTTTTTAAAAGATAAAAACACATGATAAAAACAGACAACAGGAATAACAAAAGAGTGACTCAGAGAAATAGCTAGCGATCCCCCTCAAGCTACTGGGTGGCTGAATAAGTCTTTAAAAGCCCCAGAAAAGAGGGCTGTCTTAACCTGCTACTGAAAAGATGATGGATGTGGTACCTGCACTAGGGAGATCATTCCATAGATGGGGGTCACCACTGAGAAAGCCCTTCCCCTTGTTGCCATCTATGTGATATAGGAATGCCCCATGTGATCCTATATTCAAAGCAACTTCTTTACAAGTGATTTGCTGCCATTATAGAAGTTTTGAAGAATCTGTTTTATGACAGACATTAGATGATTTTTCCTTCTTGGACTTTTTGTTGTCTAAAGTGCATAGTATTCATACTAACTGAAATGCTAGAGGTGGTGGCAAACCTGTACTTAGTAGGGCCAAAGCAAAGTGTCAGAAATTAGTATAAAACATATCTTGTTGCCAAGAAAGAAAATGTGTCATGAACCTGAAATCAAAAGAAAATATAGCTCAGCTGTGGATATTTGAGTGAAAATGCAGTTGGATAATCCAGCTCAACATGTTTTATTTTGCCAGAGCAAATGTCTCATTCCAAATGTAAAGCTGCATGTGAGAAGTCCTATCTTTGCTATTTCAGAAATACAATATAGATCATCCGCTCCTTATTCTTGTGTCTCTGTGTCCTTTTATGGGATGTGATATGCTGAATTCGGAGTTCCTCACTTGGCAGAATGTTTCTTCTTAGCAATTTATGGAAAAGTTGTATTTAAGACGAAAAGGTTTTTGCTTCCATATAGCCTAAGGTGCCTGATCCTGTTGAATATTGGAGGCTAAACAGGGTTGGGCCAGGTTGAAATCTGGATGGGTGACTTGAATCCTGCACTGAGCAGGAGGTTGGGCCTAATGACCTGCTAAGCCCCATCCAACTGTATGGTTCTAGGGTAACATCTAATAATGATGGTTATTGGATTTCCAAAGATCGATTGAAAAAGCAGAGCCATGTTGGCTTTAAACTTCAAAAGCCTGGCAATGTCTTAATCTGGGAAGCCTGCAGTAGTTATGAAGGAACAGGGATTACAAATGTTAGGCAAAAAATTAGGAGCACCTGAAATCAAGCTTGAACAGTAGAAAGAGTCCATAGGAACCCTTATTTTATCAGTTACCCAGAATACATATTTTCAATCCATCCAAAAGGAGACCAAATGACTTTTGGAAACCTTTTTATCTAACTGTTGTCTATGGCTGCATTCCTATGTGCACTTACCTGGGAGTGAGCCCATTTAAACTCATTGAGACTTACAGCACAATTCCATGCAAGTCCCTTTAGAAAAATGTGTACCATAGAAGTGACCAGTTATTTGTGAGACTTACACACAGGAGTGAACAGATCTGAGCAAGATGGATAGAAAGCATCACACTGGGCCAGTGTTCCCCAGTCATCAGCCACATCCAGCATGGCCAGTGATTAGGGATGATGGGAGTTGTAACTGGTGGGTATCAGGTTTGGGAATGTTGCATTGGGCTAAGGACGTGTCCTCCTTGGGTCTCCACATTTGACTCTAGTTTTGCAAAACAGCAAATTTATTTCTAGAACTACTAGGGACTGAAGAATGGAGAGGGTAACTTCAGATAGTCCAGAAAGAGGTTAATCTGGCCTTTGCTAAAACAGTTTGCAAATTGTGTTTGGTAGTGAAACTGCTCTAACCCACAAAGGATTAGAATTCAGTAATTGTCACCTACAGCTCTTAAAGACTTTAATATGACTAAAAGTGCCAGCCAGACATCTAAAGATCTAGCTAGAAGCCACAGCTCATTCACCTTCTTTTTAAGTCTGGAAGAAGCACATAAAACCTTTCTAGAATTGCACTCTGTCTGTCTTCACTCCATGTTAAATGCTCCCCCTGGAGACTTTTGGCATGGGCTATTCATCCATGATGTTCGCCTGAAAGAGGACAAGAATGGAGGGCTGTTTTCTGAATGGTGCCTAATTTAGAACCTCTAACAAGACACACCTGGCTCAAAGTGAGCTAGGGTGGCTTCTCCATACAGGGATGAAGCTGGGAGAACATTTCTTCTATCTTGTCTCTAATCTAAGATCTGCATCAAAATGCACAGGTTTTAGCAATATTGAATTGTGTGCTTATCCTTGGCCAACACTTGACAACTGGCCATTTTGGCAGAAACCATTCTGAATCACCACAGATATAAAGTGGAAGAGAATATTCAGAGGGTATTTCTGTATTTTGAGGTGAGCAGAGTGCTATGTGTCCTTCATAGAGGGAAGATGATTTCCAGCAGCAAACGTTTCTGTAAAGTAAATCAACCTGGAAGTAAACAAAATGTAACTCTGGAGTGTAGTGCCACATATTTGAATGAAGTCATTGCATTTCCACATGGGTTTGCCTTCTATTGTACAAGCTATTGTGGCTGCGTATTACCACTTGAGTGTCTGATACTGTTACAGTCATACTTATAAAGCAGTCCTTTTGACCTAAACTGCCTATTTTCAATGTGTAGTTGTTAGTGTTTGCCTTAAAGCACGATGAACAATTTTTCTGTTGACTCACCACCTGCAGCTTTGTGGGAAACAGTCACAAAAATTATCTATAATTTATTAAAAGGTCATCTCCCCTCTTTTCAAACATGACTAGTTAGCGGAAGCTCAGCATACTGGATGGGTGGTTTATTGGGTGTTTTGAAGTTCACTTTGCCAAAATGGTGATAAGAATTCTTTTGTCAAAAAAATGTAAATCGTCAAAATCAGTTTTATAACAAGCCCATCTGTGTGTCTATGCATTTTGTGTTGAGCTGGTTGAGTATGTTAGCTAAACTAATGTGCATCAAAAGTCCTTTGTTTGAATCTTGCCACTGCCATAAACTTTCTAGGTGTCCTTAGGAAAGCCACTGAGCCTCAGTTCTCTCCTTTTCAATATTATTATAATATTGCAATAATAACATTACTGACTTATAA